GCTCCATGTTCAGTGGTCCACTCCACGGTACCAGACAGCCCAGTGACTGCTCTTCTCAAACAGGCCGACCGGCTGCTTACAGGTGAGAAGACACCTGTGATGCTAATTCAATATTAATGTTGAAAAAAATATATTTAGAAATTCTGTCTAGTCATTAGTGAAAATCGCGTTTAGTTTTCACGTGTAGACGCGTAATGATGGATAAATATTGAATCAATAACAAGCCACCTGCCTACATCTCCCACAATGCACCGCACTGTTATTGTCCCGGACCAACATGGCGGCCGCAGGCTGCGTCTTTCACAGAGCCCTGAGCAGGTCCCGAGCCGCCGCCAACAAGGTCTGGTTGAGCCGCCTCTCGTGCCTGTTGTCGACATGTTTCTGATCACCTTCATTGATTAGGCTGTGACGTATTCGAGCCAGTGTCTGTGCTCAGAGCTCCAACAGCCCTGGCGCTGAGCCCCGCCAGACTCCATTCAAATATCTGCCGTTTTAAGGCCGCTTTGCCCCGCAGCATCCGCGTGTGTTTTTCGGTGCAGTTTACGTTCAGGTCTCGGTAAAGACGCCGGAAGGGTCAGTTCGGCTCCTCAGCAACGCACCGTCAGCTCTCTGACCCGCCTGCCCACACCGCGGCTTTCCACGTGAACCGCGTCCACTTCAGGAGCCGCCAGGTGGATCACAGATGAGCCGAATTTACCACGAGAGCCTAAATATTCAGAATCCTCTTCAAGCGGTGCTGTAGATCTCTCAACTGTTAACCGACAACAAATCCGAGCTTAAATGATCGAATATTTGCGTTGAGCCACGTTAAAGGGAGGTTAATGTGAAACGAGAAACTCAGACTGTGTTGCAAACAGGTTGACTGATAACTGAGAGCGAGTCCGACATGGAGTCACTCAGTAGAAGGTACCTGTGAGGTGCATCATCTATGGCTGGAGTGGTTTATACCCTTGTCTTTGTCTTGCAGGCGTCCTCGTCCCCTGCTGTGGTCTGCAGGGAGTTCCTGTTTGTGGTGGAGCTGCAGCGCTACAGCAGAGACCAGGGCTCTCCGGTCTACTTCCCCCAGGCCGTCCTCAACGGTGAGACACTGCAGGACACAAATACAAAACAGTCCAAACAAGACCAACAACCAACACAGACAGAATTAAAGGCTGCAGTTCGTCTCCATTCAGTTCAGTTTTATTTCTACAGCGCCAGCATTACAACACTTACTGTGGTTCCATCTGCTGCTGTCTGGTCTCAGGGGCCGACCTGTACGACGTCACGCTGACGGACGGCGACTGCAGACTTCAGGTGACTCTGGATCCGGGTCTGAACCGGCTGGTGGAGAGAAACGTCCTGCAGCCCGGACAGACGCTGAGGAACGCTGCCTTCAGCTCCACCATGACCGCCCCGCTCCCAGCATGCACCGGGGCCGGCATGCAGACGGACAGGTGGGTGAGGGACGGGCAGGTGGATGAGGGATGGGAGGGTGAGACGGACGGTGACACGTACAGGTGAGGGACGGGCGGGTGAGTTTGCTGCTGTCCTGTGATTGGCTGATTCTCTGGCAGCTACCGGCTGGTGAGCGTGGACGTGGCAGACGGCGGTCCAGGTGAGGACGGAGACGGGAGGACGGGTGAGGACTGCTGGGAATCTCTGCCCTGGTTTGGATCCTCAGGAGCTACAGGTGAGACGTTCTCACCTGGTGATGACCCTACAGTCAGAACTTGTTCTTCTCTGGTTCCTGATGGATTCTCACTGAATCTGAACACGAGACAAGAATGAATCATCTGAACCCGAAACCAGCTGCAGCTCTGAAGGTCTCCACATGAGCCAGTGAGTCTTCAGCAGGAACCAGGAACCAGACATCTGCTCTAATCACTCTGTTCTGTCTTATTTAAAACGTCTCCAAACAAATCCAGAACAGTGTGCCTGAAATAATCTGACCAAAGTTTTGTCCCGCGTGTGTCCAGAATGGGTCTAAATGAGCTAAAACGTGAACCCAGATCTGTCCAGAGTGACTGTAAACCTGTTTAAACTGACTCAGAATGACAAAGCTATCTGAAGAAACCTTCAGAAACGGAGTGTTTTTAAAGTGTCTGAATGTCTTGGCTGATCAAAGCTGCAGTCTGACAGCACCTGGGCTGATCGGTGCTCTGTTTCTGGATCCAGCAGGTCCTCTGGTTCCCCTCAGAGCCAATCGGAGCGTGTTCCTCCCTCTGTGGAACAACGTGGACTACAGCGGACAGGTGTGGCGGGAGGCTCCGCCCACTGACGAGGACGAGGACGAGGACGAGGACGAGGATGAAGAGCAGGAAGGTAGACTTAACGAGGCTTTCTAAACATAGCTGGACGACACGATGTTCAGAAACCTGTCGATGTGTTTCCTCCTCATCGAATCCCAACCATGTGGAATGGAATGAGCTGGAGAGTGACTCAGACAGCAGCTGTTTGGTGTTGTTCTGCTGTAGCACGAGCTATGAAGGGGTGGACTGATCGTCTGGGGCAGGTCCATGACGTGAAAACGTTCCAGCCACAATAAATCCTTGTCTTTGAAGAATAGAAAATGAAGCTACATCAGGTTTTAACGACTGTGTGTCGGCAGGACGACGTCCGACCGTCACCGTGTCCCGGCTCAGAGACTCCTTCCTGTCTGGTCGCCGCGGCGCCATCCAGCATCAGCTGATCGTACGCATCATCAACAAGTCGCACCTGATGTATTACGGGAGAGCGGACAGGAACTGCGAGTGCCCATATAAGGTCAGTGAACAGGTGGTGGTCGGGTAAGGAGCTCCGATGAGTCTCAACGCGACTCGTGCAGAAACACGTTTGTCGGTGACGTTTCAGTGTCGCAGGTGTTTCTGCAGGTCAGACAGCGTTCAGGAGTCAGTCCGTCTCATCGAACACGAGGCGCCGTAAATGACGATCCCAAAATACGGTGAGGGTTAATTGGGTGAATCAAAAACTGTCCATAATCGCTCACAGTTAGTCTGAAATGTCTCAAAATTTGTAAGAAAAAAAATACTGACGAAAATAAATATAATGCCGAAATTGTTTGAAGCTTGGCCAGAAATGGTTCACAAGTCGTCCAAAATGAATTTGTCAAAAATGATACTGATGTCGGACTTGAAACCTGCCCCGAAATCACTCAAGTAATTGTCCAACACCACTTGAAATTTGTCTGAAGTGACTCAGAACTTGTCCAAAATTAGATCAAGGCAAGAGGCACAAGCTTCAGGTCGTTTTGGACAAATTTAGATTCATTTTGGTAAAAGTTTTGAAGTTGATAGGCAATGTTTACTCGGCTGACTCTCATATTTGTCATAAAACGATGAGAAGCTTGGTCATAGGACTCAGTGTGTTCAGTGATGCCTTCTGGAGCTTTAACTCCAGGTTTTAGATGAAAGCAGCATCAGTATAAACTCTGCAGATGACAGAGGACCCACAGCGGATCCTTGAGGAACTCCGGATGTTTCTGTGTTTCCGTCCAGGCCGTGTTGGAGTTGTGCGACCGGACAGGAAGTGTGTGCGCCGTGTTGTGGAACAGCGTGTGTGTCAGCTGGTATCGCCGTCTCAAGCCCGGTGACGTCATCAACGTGCGACGCTTCCGAGTCAAGCAGCGTTACCAGGCGGAGCCCGGCGACATCGGTAACCCGATCAGAACCACAGCTGCTCTAAAACCGGCTCTGAACCAGGGCCTCCCAGCGTGGGTTTGGATCTCAAAGTTCTCTAATACACTGAGTTTTTAACTTGAGATTGTTGGTGGTCGCAGAGACGAACGCGCACAAGAAGAAACACAGCATGAGCTGAAGGGCTGCACAGTTCATGGAATATGAATCATGACTTTATCCTCCTTCAGTCAAAGGACTGGCTGATGTTTACGGTTAAAGACAACTGCCCATGTAGATAAAACTACCTGGCTTCAAGTAAAGAGCTCCTTATTACAAAAAAGTGACCAAACATGTCCTAAATGAGCCAATAGCTGTCCTGAACACCTTGAAACCTTGAAAGGACAACTTTTTTTCAAACATGACGATGTTTGGAAAAAAAAAAAAAAAAAGACTTCAGAGTTGTTCAAAATGTCTTAAATTGATTTCTTTGAACTGGTCTAAAGAGGGCGGCCCGGCAGCTCAGCGGGTTGACCTATGAACAGCTCTCTGTCTGCTAAAGCCGAAACAGGCCAAAGAATCATACAGAAAACGAATAATGGACTCGACTCGTCATGTCAGAATGATAAAAGCTGATCTAAAATCACTCAAAAAAACTTTGTCCACAGTCTCTTTCAACTTGGCTCAAAACGTGTCCAAAGCAACTTGAGACTTGTACAAAACAAGTCAAAACTTGTCTAAGATGAAAACATCTGAGTGGACTTTAGACTAAAATGGCTCACAATACGGCCAGTTGACTTTTAGATAGTCCAGAACAACTCAAAATTTCTCCAAAATCATTCAAAGTTTGTCCAAAATGATCCCAAACGTCTCCAGAGTGACCTGGACTTGTAGTGAACGGGCAGAGACTCGCTGTGGCAGCAGGTTTAATGTGAGCGACCGAATGAACGTCTTCAGATCGATGACTGTGTTTCTGTTCTGTGCAGAAATCAGCGTGAACAGCAGGAATCCTGCCGCTCAGATCTCTGTCCTCCCAGAATCCTCTGTCTCACCTGAGTGCCTCCCACCTGCACCCACCTACAGCTTCTACAACAGGTAACGGTCACATGATCAGGAGGGCCACACTGACACAAGCTGCCATTCAGAAATGTCCTCATAACTCAAAGCGTCCTCACTCTGCCGCTGTCAGTCAGCAGCTCCTGGACCGACCTCACAACACCACCTGTGACGTCATTGGTCTGCTGACGTTCGTGGGACGATCCGAGCGAATCAGGAGTAAGTGTGAGGGTTACCATGGCGACAGCACAGTGCTCTGGTATTAGCGGTTTGTCAGAAGTAATCAGTGTGTTCACTGGCAGATGGCAGAGGGGCGGAGCTTCTGGAGTATCGCTGGCTGCGATTGGAGGACGGTGCCAGCGATCAGCCCGTCATGGTGAAGCTCTTCTCTACATCTCAGCCTGAGACTCACCTGAAGCTCCACCCAGGTGAGTCTCACCATCAGCCTTTTGCTGTTTCACTCTGAACCCAAACACCTGCTGCTGTGTTTGAAAAGCTGCTTGAAACCTGTCGCACAGTTCTGCCCAGAATGACTCAAAATCTGTCCAAAATGACTAGAAACACCAGAATTTGTCCTAAATGACTCAGAATTCAAACACGAAGACCGTCTCCGATGGTACCGTGTGGACACGTCGGTCCATCAGGACATTTAACCAAATCTGACCTCAGAACTGTGAGATTTCACCAAAACTGCTTCATTCTGAATGTCGCATCAGGTTCTACAGAAACGATGAATGAATCAGAGTTCTGATGACGTCACCGTGTTTGTGTCCTCAGTGTCGGTGCTGGTCGGTACCAGACTGATGCTGGTCCGAGCTGCAGACCACAGCTGCTTCTACCTGACCAACACGACCAACACGCAGGTGTACTGCACAGGTAACGGGATTGGCTGGTGTTTGTGCAGCAGGCTGCCTCCCTGCGTCCTGATTGGCTGACTGTGTGACTGACAGGTCAGGGCCACCACTCACAGATGAGCTACCGGAGGCTGCGGCCAGTGCGACGCTTCCTGCAGTGGCTGAGGACGCAGGACGACGCCGCGGTGCTGAGCAGGGCTCTGATTGGAGGATTCTTCACGTACCCGCCTCCCCCCGTCTCCATGGAAACGTACATGAAGGAGTGCAGAGGTCAGCTGACGGGTTTGCTGTTTGGTACTGTGTGTGTTTTAAATCCATCCATCGGACGTCACAGCGTCAGTGTGACGAGCAGCGTTTGGGACGTTGGCCTCGTCTGTACTCGTCATGGACATGTTTTCAATCAACTTGTACGTTTTTGTCATTTGTGGACAATGTGTAGTCCTTTTGGAGTTGAACAGGTCACTCGTGTTAGTTTTTCCTTATTTTCTGGCGTGTTATCGACGCTCGCTGCAGCACACAGAACGCCTCCAGAGGTCTGGTCGTCCGGTCGGACAGTTTCTGAATGTGATGTGTGAGCTGACGATCTGATGCAGTTCTTTAAGAACTCCTGTTTCTGTCCACCTGGTGTTCTTACAGGTGAGCCGGGTCTCCTGCGAGTGGCGGAGCTTCAGAGGGAGCTGGACCAACTCTGTTACCGGGAGCGACGCACCTTCTGTATCCAGGCAACCGTGACCGTGGTTACCTACAGCCGCCGAGGAGAGGTGACCACCAGACATTTATTACCACCACTATTTATGTCACTATATGAAAATGGTATCGTTTTTTATTCCCAAACAAAGCCGAGTCCATTTTCTGCCTCATGTCCTTCACTGTGCTCAGCGGCTGCTTCACGCTGTAGGAAATGTGATTTAAAGTGACTCAGCAGTTATCAACAACCGCTGGAACATTGTTAGAAGTTGTCTAATTGTCTGAAATGACCTGAAATTTCCTGACGACAAAAAAAAATAAAAGTTTTGCAAAATAATAAAAAAATTGTCTGAAATTGTTCTAAAGTGGTCCAAAATAATTCATAGTTTTCCAAAATGACTTTTGAAAAGTGCCTAAAACTCCTCTAACCCGTCTGAAACGGCCCAAAATGACCAAAACGTGTCTAGAAGGACTCAAATCATGTAAAGCGACTGAACTTGTCCAGAATGACACTAATTGCAGACATTCGGACATCACATTTGATATCCTGATTCCAGCACAGCGAGCGAACAGTCGGCTCTTCGGGTCCAGCCCGAGACTTTGCAGATTCTAGGTTTTCTGTGCGGGTTCTCTCACTGACTTCTTGTCTCCTGCAGGAGGAGCGCTGTTTGTTCTGGACGGACCGACCTTCGTCCTTCTCTCCATCCTCCTCCTCCTCACCTCAGCTGTCCTCCTCCCTGCCCTCCACCCCCCGATCGTCCAGACCTCCTCCGTCCTCCTTCAGTCCAACATCTGCATCCTCAGCAGTCAGCCGCTCGACACCCCGAACTCCCATCCAAACGGCAGGGTGAGGACAAAACAGTTTATTA